AACTTGACATCAAGTTAGCAAAACAGTATCAATAAAAATGTCGGTAGAAAATTTCATTCATCTGTCAAAACTGGTATTCGAACCATAAACTGGGCTCTGTGTCATTTGCGCAACAGTCGTTTGCGCGAGGGAGAAAAGCGCGATACTAAAAGCGCGAGGGACAAAAGCGCGACGGAACAAAAACGCGACTGCATAAAAGCGCGAGAAACAAAGGCGCGAGCGAGAAAAGCGCGAGAAACAAAAGCGCGAGGGACAAAAGCGCGACGGAACAAAAACGCGAAGGACAAAAGCGCGACGGAACAAAAACGCGACTGGAATAAAGCACGATTGGACAACAACGCGAGGTATCTAACTATCTACGAGGACTGTAAGCAAAAGAGGGACACATCAAATTGTATCAATAATAATCAGAAAAATGCAGCCTTACTCAAATTAACCCATACTAACCCGTTCGCCTAGTGCGATCTAGTCTTCGCTGAATAGAATTTTATTTGAAAAACAAGGCGCGGTCAAGGGACCCTACGCTATAAATAAATTGACTGTTTTTTTGGATAAAATGCTAACTTACGAGTACTGGATCGCACTAGGCGGACGGGTTATTTTGGGTTAGTTTGAGCAAGTCTGTATTTGCTTTATTATTATTGGTTCAAATTGATGTCGCAATACAGACTTACTCAAACTAACCCAAAATAACCCGTCCACCTAGTACGATCTAGTCCTCGTAAGCATTTTATTTAAAAAAGCAAAGTTAATTCACTGATTGCTCAGGGTCTCTTGAGAGCGCAGTATTTTTTAAATAAAATGCTTTGTTGCCTTTATTGATTTCAAGCGTGCTTTTGATAGCGTTAAACACTCACTACTTTGGAGAAAACTCCATAGTTTTGGGGTTCCTCCCTCCTATATAAACATCTTAATTCAGATTTACTGTAACGCTTCAGCTAAAGTAAAATGCTCTGACGGACTTTCAGACCCAATTGGAATAAGTGAAGGCGTACTTCAGGGAGAACCACTATCCCCTTTTCTGTTTTTACTGTTTCTCTCTGATATCATACAGTTTTTTGAGGGTAAGGGAGCTAGGCTAATTAATATTGATGGTGTTAATGAACTTTTTATGCTGCTCTATTGTGACGACCTAATTGTTTTCGGGCTTTCAGAACGAGATCTACAATGCAACCTGAATATCCTGGCTGAGTATGTACAGGAGAACAATTTGGCAGTCAATGTTGCAAAGTCCAAAATAATGTGTTTCAGGAGAGGGGGTTTTCAAGCTAGTTACACCAAAAGATTTATTTTCAAAAACGAACCCCTTGAAATTGTCAATGAATATACATACCTTGGAGTCACTTTCACTGCATCTTCTAAATTTCGAATTATGGCAGACAAATCTGTCTCAAAATGCAAACAGGCCATTGGCGCGGCAGTTTCACATCTATCAAAGTCTAAATCATTTTCAATTACTTCAAGACTTAAAATATTTGAAACGTGTGTACTTAACATAATGTCTGGGTCCGCACCCATCTGGGCCCTAAGATATCTAGACGTCCTTGAACAGATACAAACATCATTTCTCAAAAAATCTCTTTGCCTAAAAGCACCTCTTCAGCCATACTTCGCCTGGAGTTTGGCGTTTCTCCTATAGCGACAACTATACTTAAATGGACTCTCAACTTTCTCAAAAGGTTGCTCTCTATGGATGAAAGCAGATTACCCTTAATTTGCCTTAAAAGGCAACTACAGCTTATCGACTCGCCGCTAGCATATAACTGGCTATCGCAACTCAAATTGGTACTTACTGGAACAGGTTTTGATAATATTTTGATTAATAATTTAACACCAAGATTTGTAACTAGCCGAAAAATCGATCAAATAATTGACAAATACCGAGAGCTATCCTTTCGGAAAGATATTGCTTTGGCTAGAGATTCCAGTTATATGACCTTTTATCCATTTTTATCAATAACAAAAAATCCAGCTACTTATTTAACATTTAGAGTACAAACATTTGTTTTGAAACTCATAGCGCAAACAAGACTTGCCAAAAAATACCTATGTGCTTTTACCTTTAATTCTATCCTCTATAAACTTGACCCCCGCATAATATGTACAGTTTGTAACACCTCTGAACTAGAGACATTAGACCACATTCTTTTCAGATGTCCAATGTATAGAGAAGTCAGACCATTAACATGGTCGAGCCCTGACTCATTTCTCAATTTACTTGAAACCTTAGCTCCAGTATCTGCCAAAACATTTGCTTCCACCATAATGTCATTCCTCAGGCTTCGATCCTTTTTGATATCGCAGGATTAGAATTTGTTAGAAATATCAACTTTCTCTCTTTTTTTTGTTGTATAGACCCCTTCCATAGGTACTTTTATTAGGCACCAAAATGTGAACCCTTCTGGTTTTTAGTTTATACATAGAAATACAAGTAACTTTATCTTTCGCTTTGTAATTAGATTAAGATTATTTAGATTATTATTATTTTTTGTTCGTTTCTAATAACAAATACGTATCCAAATTCAAAACAAATTATATTCCCTCCTTTATAAGTTTATTTTTGCTTTTGTAATTCAAACCACTACGTTTACTAGATTTAGAGCACTCATTGTTATAGAAAATACTTTCTGGAAACAATAAAAATTGAATTGAATTGAATTGAATAAAATGCTAACTCACGAGGACGAGATTGCCCTAGACGGACGGGTTAGTTTGATTAAGTCTACATAATTTTGATTAATATTGGAAAAATTTGATGTTTCCCTCTTTTGCTTAGAGGTCGTCGTTGTAAATCACTCTTTTAATTTGTCACTGTTCTGAATCTCGTTCTTTACATATGTCGCTCTTTTGATATGTTGCTGTTTTTTTTAGATGTCGCTGTTCCAAATGTCGCTATTTTGATATATCGCTTTAACAATATGTCGCCTTTTTGATGTTGCTATTTTAAATATCGTTCTTTTGAACCGGAGCCACCGAAAATATCTTGTATTTTGGAAAACGATCTTCAGTTCTCGTAGTAAGGCACTTCGCGTTCTTGGCCAATCGCGCTTTATCCAGCTGCGTTTTTGTTCTGTCGCGCTTTTGTCCCCTCGCGCTTTGTCGCTCGCGCTTTCGCTTCTAGCGCTTTTATCCAGTCGCGTTTTTGTGCAGTCGTGCGCTTTTGTCCCTCGCGCTTTTGTTCCTCGCGCTTCTATCCAGTCGCGTTTTTGTCCATCGCGCATTTGTCCTGTCGCGTTTTTGTTCCGTCGTGATTTTGTCCCTCGCGCTTTTTATATCGCACTTTTCTCCCTCGCGCAAATGACACAGATCCCATGCATAAACTGGCATTTTTTAATTGTTGATTGCAACCAATCAGATTACGATTACGTGATAATTTGTACTAGTGCAAGATTATCGGATTGGATAATTGCTTAACTAACGGGTGGCATTTGACATTTTTTCTGATTGGTGACATTTTATACTTACGAGGATATACTAAAAATTTAAATTTTTGATTCATGAAATTCTCTCATAAAATACAACTCGAGCAATGGAAATATATCGATAATTTTTGAGAAATTTGCTCTCATGCATTTTTAACTGGAAAAGGCACTCTCGTCCCTCGTGCTTTTTTTCAACTAAAAATGCATTCGGGAAAATTTGCCAAAAATTATCGATAATTTCCATTTTATTCCAATTTAATTTTATTTCTAATTTTATTTTATTTTCTGTATAAATGAGCACACGATATTTCGCTTTCTGATTTTTGAAATCTATAAGGCCTCCAATAGAGTTTTCCTAAGCTAAAGAAAAAAAAAACTGAAAAACTATTTTCAAAAAATTTAGAAATAAATATTTGTTCCAACAAATGTTGAGTTTCACTAATTAAAATATACTTACAGGGTGCATAAAAAAAATCAAGGGTGGGAGATCATTTATAACGGAACACCCTTTTACTCACCTAATTTTATACTGCCATACGTTTTTTGTGACGATGTCGGTCTAACTTAACGGCAACCTTGCGAAACACAAGTTTTTTTCAAACACGATTTTTTCATGGAGAAAAAGAGCGGCAAATTTTTGGGTTTTCATATTTAATTAGCGGCAAAAAGCGGCAAATTTCCACAGCTTTTCTCTATCACTCCATTTTTCTCTACCGACATTTTTAATGATACTGTTTTGCTCACTTGATGTCAACTTAGCGAAACACATCATATTTTTTTCAAACGCGATATTTTCCACTCACTCAATTTATCACTACCGACATTTTTAGTGATCTCGCTAACTTTACGTTAAATTAGCAAGACATTATTTTATTTTCGAACACGATTTTCTTATGAAAAGCAAGGTAGCGGCAAATTTTTAGTTTTCACATCTAATTAGCGGCAGAAAAACGGCAAATTTCCATTCACTCAACTTATCACTACCGACATTTTTAGTGATTGTCTCGCTAACTTGACGTCAAGTTAGCGAAACACATGATTTTTTTTGAAACTTGATTTTTTGTAAAAAAAAAGAAGCGACAAATTTTTGGTTTTCACAACTAATTAGCGGCAAAAAAACGGCAAATTTCCATTCATTCAATTTTTCACTACCGACATTTTTAGTGATATTGTCTCGCTTACTTGACGTCAAGTTAGCGAAACAAATGATTTTTTTTTTCAAACTTGATTATTTATGGAAAAAAAAAGAACCGGCAAATTTTTGGTTTACACAACTAATTAGCGGCAAAAAAACGGCAAATTTTCATCTACCTAATTTTCTACTGCTGACATATTTAGTGATGTTGTCTCGCTATCTTGACGTCAAGTTAGCAAAACACGTAATTAAGAAAAAACCAAAAGAGCGGCAAATTTTTTAATTCCACATTTAATTAGCGGCAAAAAAGCGGCAAATTCTTGGCATAACGGAAAATCGATTTTTCGAAGTTGTCTCGCTAAGTTGATAGACATCTATTATGTTGTACTTATTGTATACTAAATACTCGACTAAATATGTCTACTCTTAATTCAAATTGTTACCTTATTTTTCTGAATATATACTGGCCGATTAAAGGATATCTCAATGAGAGAATGATACTGTACTCTGCTAGTAAAATGTGTATAAGTCAAACGACTTCCTTCGGCGTCCAATAAATGAGCATAAAGCAACTCAGCATAAACAATTTGATGGTTCTTTTCCTTGTCCAAAGGAATTTGTGCTGGAACTTGGATCCCATAAACACAAACGTTCTTGTCACATGTAAATGTAACTGCGCAGTCCAAAACACTGGTATTCATACAATCGATGGTTCGCAGTAAAATTCTGTTGCAAATCATCTTTTTTGGCGAGTCATTGTTGCCTTCAGCTGCCAGGGAACTGAATTTGATCATGGAGGTTCTAGAAGTGTCCATTGCTGCACCAGACTGAAAATAATATTATTTTTATCTTATTTATTTTTGAGAATCTTGAATAGAAACATTATTACTTAATTATTTAAATAAGTCACATCAAGCTTTTCCATCCAACTATTAACTTTATCATAATAAGGAAGTTCTTCTTCTTCTAAAATCAGACTTGACTTATCAACAATTTCTTTCTCAGTGTCTTCCCAAATACTCAAAAAACCTTTGGCAAAAGTACTTGTAACGTTAGAGTAAGTGTAAATTTGATTGTACTTATTCAGGAACCGTTCTGCCCCATTTTTTTTGAGTTCATCATGCTTTCCTAAAGTTCTACTAAGAAAACAGAATGCATCTCCCATTTCCTCAAAATTAGTAATATGCAACGGTCGTGCTGGTCTATCAATTTTACTAGCCCAATTATAAAATTTACTGATGGATTGTGAATTTTTTAAAGACTTTTCAGACAATTTTTGACAAAACAAATCACCAATACAATTAACGAAATAAATCAAAACCTCATCATCATTTTTAACCAATTTTACTCCAGCAGTGGACAATTTTAACCTTTTATCAATGGTATCGTTTAAAACCATTCCAGGATATTCTAAAATTGCCTCATCTCTAGTCTCTTCTAATCCAGACACTTTTTGTGGTAACCCGAACATTACTTTTCCAGAAAATAATATTTTATCACTTTGAAAATGATTTGCTAAACATAAAAAATTATCTAATGAATCCATAAAGAGAGGTGGAAATCCCATTGTGTGAGCAAAAGTAGAAAAATTCTTCAAATCTGTTTTGATAATATAATGACGAGAGGCTAGTAATAAAGTGTTATTGATTAATATCCTAAAATTGCACAATTGATTGCATGTCATTAGTTTTGGGTCAAATTTCTCTAAAACAGTTCCACTATTATAATCAATAACTTGTAACATATAAGTATCCATCAATATAACTGTAGTTTTCTTCCAAAATTCAAATTGTATTAATTTATTTGGTGATTTATTTTTTCTCTTAAAGCACATTCTTGATTTTTTACAATCCCAAATACTGAATACATTGTTTATTTGAATTAGGCCTAATAACATTGACTGAATTTTTGCATCGATAATGGCTATATTGAAATGCAATTGGAAAGTTATTGTAGAATTGTTTTTATTAAAAATTTCAAGTAAAATAATATCATACTTGTATTTTAGAAGGATAGAATTTTTGTTAACTTTCAGGGAACAAATGGGGCCTTCCATTGTAGGAGCATCTGAATAAAATTTATCTTTTTGACTAAAGAATTCAAGTTTGTCATTTCTAGGCCACACAAGATAATTAATATTATTGAGCTCAATTGTATCTAATATTCCATTAGTATAATAAATATTATAATCATTATGGAAATCTTCATCTGGATCTTTATACTGATGAAAAACCTCAAATAACAAATTAGGAATGTATTTATATTCTGAGCCTCCACTGGTTATATTTGAAACTTTGTCAAGTACTTTCCTTTGTTGGGCCTCTTTGATTTTGGTTTTATAAAGTTTCTTTTCATTACAAATTTGTTTTATAGGGTCTTTTAGGTCGGGCGGGACGTCGAAAGGATCCTGCACAGGATATGGTAGTTCAATGTTATATGGTTGATCAGAACCAGTTTCAAATAGATAACTATCACTGAAATCCGGATAAACGTTGTGTGGTTGTTGTTCTACTTCGTATTTCCGATAATTATTTGTGTTTAAAAGCATTTTTTTGAACTAAATGCAGAAGCTCTATCGGGTTTATTTTCGAAAGCCCATGTTTTGAATGTTTTGATTTTGTGGTTAGGAGGTTAGGTTCTGCTTGCTTGTCTCTTCTTTTTTTTTTTGGCTTTAGCCACCCAAGACCAAACAGTTGGGGGGAGATTTATTTAGAGGTATGAAGTTAGCTGCCAAAGTGCCAAAGATTGCGGAACGACCATGGGCGGAGGTCAACAATTTAAATGAATTAAATTAATTCAAAATGCTTTAGCAACAATTGAAAAATACTTGAAATTATCAATCTACATTGACTAATCTTCTGGTCTATGAGGAGGCTCTGTTGGAGGGTTTGGAGAATAAGTGTCAGATTGACTCGGTCTACACTGACTTCTCCAAGGCCTTTGACAGGGTTGACCATAAGATACTATTGGAGAAGGTGGCCGATGTGGGGCTGCATGGAGGTCTATTGAGCTTGATTGGAAGTCTTCTCACAGGTAGAAAACAGGCTGTAAAAATTGAGAATTACATCTCTTCAGTATTTTTGGTGACCTTGGGGGTGCCTCAGGGAGGACACCTGTCTCCTTTGCTGTTTAGTATATTTATTAATGATCTGTCAGGTGTCTTCAGAAATTCCGATTTTTTGCTCTTGGCTGATGACTTGAAGTGTTTTATGGCTGTTCGGGATGTCAGGGATGCTCAATTATTGCAAGTGGACTTGGATATGTTTCGGACTTGGTGTCAAAGAAACAAACTCCCCTTAAATGTTGAGAAGTGTAAGGTTATTACTTTTTCTCGGAAAAAAACACCTTACTTACATAATTACGTTCTTAATGATTTGGAGATTAACAGGGTTGAAACTATTAGAAGTCTATTTCAACACTAATGTAAGCTTCACAGAGCACATTGAAATAACTGCTAATAAAGCAATGAAATTACTAGGCTTTATGTTCAGGTCACTAAAAGAATTTACTAATATCTACACCCTAAGAAACATTTATTGTGCAATTGTTAGATCAGTTGTAGAATATGCTTGCCCTGTCTGGTCCCCTTATTATGCTGTGCACATCTCCCACTTGGAACGAATCCAAAAAAAGTTTTTAAGATCCATTGCATATCGATTGGGCATCCCAAGTGAATCTATAAATTATAATGAGTTAATGTCTGTCCTAAATCTTGAAAATCTGAACCAGAGGCGACAGTTTTTTGATATGTGTACTTTGTTTAAGATTGTTAATAATTCTATTGATTCTCCAGACTTACTTGCTAGAATTGGCTTACATGTACCATCTAGCAATTTAAGAGGAAACACATTGTTTAACCTTGATTTTCGTAGAACCAATTATGGTTACCATTCACCTTTACTTAGAAGCTGTCGTTCTCTGAATGATATTATTTTGAAGACTGATTTGGATGTTTTTAACATAAGTTTGGATAGATTCAAAAGAATTTTAAAGTCGATCCTAAAATGATCGTTTTTTCTATTTGTATTCAATTTTAAGCGTATTATGTTGTTTATGTTTTGATACCTACTACAAAATATTTGTTTAGGCTTATGTAATATTGTTTTTTTATACTAACTTGTCTGTTGCCTACTTGTTATTCCAAATATTTATTATTGCGTGTACCTACACTTTAAGTCTACCTTTGTAAAAATGGCATGTCCGTAAATAAAGAATTTATGTAGTTTATACAATCTGAATGTATTTTCAATTAAAATGAACAAATAAATAGGTATATTCCAGTAGAATAACAACTAACAGTCCTGTAAAATAACAAATTAAAACAAAAATCATATGTAAAAAATTTAGGATAATTTTGTTTCACCGAATTTCGAAGCTGATTTTAAAGAACAGACCCCACTCCACAATTTACCACCCCATTCGACCCCCCAGTAGGGTTGCCACCTGTCCGGTTTTCACCCGGACTGGCGGACTGTCCGGTTTTTCAAAAGTTTGTCCGGTGTCCGGACGCATGATGAAAATGTCCGGGAATATCTGGATAACTATATAATTAATAATAATTAATACCTAATATAAAATTTATAAAGGCGATTGCCGAACGCCTTAGGATATACCCAACTAATTTCTGAACGTTCCTACTTCTTAAATGACGGGTGTGTCATGAACGTCTCTGGTTTCCAGTTAGCGACGGAAAAGTGGACTTTTTTTGCCTAGGCAGAAAAGTTTGTTGTTTGTTGCTCCCCATTCAACAAACGTTATCGACGCAATTGTTAAACATAAAAAAGTAGATTATGCGTGACTTGTAACAAATTCGGAGAAAAAATGATATGTTTCACACGGCAAAAGATCAGATTTAGTGCCTTGGTTGGTTTCCTCGCTTCGCTTTTGGCTATGGAACACTAGTCGCAGCATTAAAATTGTGCTTTTCTGCCTAATAAAATAAACACTCCCTGTTCATTTACAAGTGTCTCTATTTTTAATTTTTTTTTAATTTTGAAATAGACCGTAACTACGAGGGGTGGCGTTTGAAATTGAGTAGATACCTTTTTCAATTTTTTTCTAAAAATTCATTTTACAGATAGGTATGAGTGTAAATTACCTATGCTACAAAAAAAAGTTAGCTTCGATTATGTACGGGTTTTCGGAAATCAAAAGGTGGCAACCCTACCCCCCAGTCCCCTCAATAGACCGGTAAAATCACAAACATGACAAAAAAAATTCTAAAAAATCGAAGAAAATTTTGTTTCACCAAATTTCGAGATTTATTTGAAAGAACAGACTCCACTCCACAATTTGACACCCAGTCCCCTCAATAGACCGGTAAAATTAGAAATACGACAAAAAAAAATTCTAAAAAATCGAAGACAATTTTGTTTCGTGAAATTTTGAGATTAATTTGAAAGAACAGACTCCACTCCACAATTTGACACCCCATTCGACCCCCCAGTCCCCTCAAAAGACTGGTAAAATCAGAAATACGACAAAAAAAATTCTAAATAATCTAAGAGAATTTTGTTTCAACAAATTTCGAGATTTATTTGAAAGAACAGACTCCACTCCACAATTTGTCACCCCATTTGACCCACCAGTCCCCTCAATAGACTGGTAAAATCAGAAATACGACAAAAAATTCTAAAAAATCGAAGACAATTTTGTTTCACGAAATTTCGAGATTTATTTGAAAGAACAGATTCCACTCTACAGTTTGACACCCCATTTGACCCCCCAGTCCCCTCAATAGACCGGTAAAATTAGAAATACGACAAATTTTTTTTTTTTTTTAAATCGAAGACAATTTTGTTTTACCAAATTTCGAGATTTATTTTGAAGAACAGACTCCATTCCACAATTTGACACCCCATTCGACCCCCCAGTCCCCTCAATAGACTGGTAAAATCAGAAATACGACAAAAAATTCTAAAAAATCGAAGCCAATTTTGTTTTACCAAATTTCGAGATTTATTTTGAAGAACAGACTCCATTCCACAATTTGACACCCCATTCGACCCCCCAGTCCCCTCAATAGACTGGTAAAATCAGAAATAGGACAAAAAAAAATTCTAAAAAATCGAAGACAATTTTGTTTCACCAAATTTCGAGATTTATTTGAAAGAACAGACTCCACTCGACGATTTGACACCCCATTTGACCCCCCAGTCCCCTCAATAGACCGGTAAAATTAGAAATACGACTAAAAAAAATTCTAAAAAATCGAAGACAATTTTGTTTCACCAAATTTCGAGATTTATTTGAAAGAACAGACTCCACTCGACGATTTGACACCCCATTTGACCCCCCAGTCCCCTCAATAGACCGGTAAAATTAGAAATACGACAAAAAAAAATTCTAAAAAATCGAAGACAATTTTGTATCACTAAATTTCGAGATTTATTTTAAAGAAGACTCCATTCCACAATTTGACACCCCATTCGACCCCCCCAGTCCCCTCAACAGAATGGTAAAATCAGAAATACGACAAAAAAAATTCTAAAAAATCGAAGACAGTTTTGTTTCACCAAATTTCGAGATTTATCTGAAAGAATAGACTTTACTCTACAATTTGACACCCCATTCGACCCCCCCAGTCCCCTCAATAGACTGGTAAAATCAGAAATACGACAAAACAAAATTCTAAAAAATCGAAGACAATTTTGTTTCACCAAATTTCGAGAATTATTTTAAAGTAGACTCCATTCCACAATTTGACACCCCATTCGACCCCCCAGTCCCCTCAATAGACTGGTAAAATCAGAAATAGGACAAAAAAAAATTCTAAAAAATCGAAGACAATTTTGTTTCACCAAATTTCGAGATTTATTTGAAAGAACAGACTCCACTCGACGATTTGACACCCCATTTGACCCCCCAGTCCCCTCAATAGACCGGTAAAATTAGAAATACGACTAAAAAAAATTCTAAAAAATCGAAGACAATTTTGTATCACTAAATTTCGAGATTTATTTTAAAGAAGACTCCATTCCACAATTTGACACCCCATTCGACCCCCCCAGTCCCCTCAACAGAATGGTAAAATCAGAAATACGACAAAAAAAATTCTAAAAAATCGAAGACAGTTTTGTTTCACCAAATTTCGAGATTTATCTGAAAGAATAGACTTTACTCTACAATTTGACACCCCATTCGACCCCCCCAGTCCCCTCAATAGACTGGTAAAATCAGAAATACGACAAAACAAAATTCTAAAAAATCGAAGACAATTTTGTTTCACCAAATTTCGAGAATTATTTTAAAGTAGACTCCATTCCACAATTTGACACCCCATTCGACCCCCCAGTCCCCTCAATAGACTGGTAAAATCAGAAATAGGACAAAAAAAAATTCTAAAAAATCGAAGACAATTTTGTTTCACCAAATTTCGAGATTTATTTGAAAGAACAGACTCCACTCGACGATTTGACACCCCATTTGACCCCCCAGTCCCCTCAATAGACCGGTAAAATTAGAAATACGACTAAAAAAAATTCTAAAAAATCGAAGACAATTTTGTTTCACCAAATTTCGAGATTTATTTGAAAGAACAGACTCCACTCGACGATTTGACACCCCATTTGACCCCCCAGTCCCCTCAATAGACCGGTAAAATTAGAAATACGACAAAAAAAAATTCTAAAAAATCGAAGACAATTTTGTTT